ATGTCTGTTTTTAAAATATATTTTTATTTATTTCAGAGAGGAAGGGAGAGGGAGAGAGATAGAAACATCAATGATAAGAGAGAATAATTGATTGGCTGCCTCCTGCATGCCCCACACTGGGAATTGAGCCTGCAACCCGGGCATGTGCCCCGACCGGGAATTGAACCACGACCTCCAGATTCGTAGGTAAAGGCTCAACTACTGAGCCTCGCTAGTGAGGCGAAGCAAAATGTCTTTCTATACCTAACTGATTGAATGGCTAAGAGTTAAAACAAATACTAATTCTTCTAAACCAGTGGTTCTCAACCTTCCTAATGCTGCGACCCTTTAATACAGTTCCTCATGTTGTGGTGACCCCCAATTTCATTGTTACAAATTGAACATAATTAAAGCATAGTGATTAATCACAAAAACAATATGTAATTATATATGTTTTCCGATGGTCTTAGGCGATCCCTGTGAAAGGGCCGTTCGACCCCCAAAGGGGTCGCAACCCACAGGTTGAGAATCGCTGTTCTAAACCCAAGAGCAAGAACGATGAGGTCAAAGTGTCTGGAGAAAGGGGTGATTTATCCAGCAAGAATGGTAGTAAAATGGAATGGAAGTTTTCTTTGTTGGTTGAGGTTTATAGTCTCTCTGGCCTTTTTTTTTTTCAAATTCTGAAATAATTTCAGACTTAGGGTTACAAAAAGCAGTCGATATAAAGAATCCCCAAACATACCTTTCACTCAAATTCCCCAAATGTTAACATTTTATCACACCTGCTTTATCATTCTGTGTTTGAGTGTGTACATACTTGGTTAATTGGTTAACAATGGCTTAATATGTCTGTAAAACAACATCTTTAGCTATATAATTAAAGACTCCCACAATGCAAATATATTTGATCAGTGAAATAATACTTGATTATTATTTGCAAGATAAAGGGACTCGTGTTCATTGGGAACAGTAAGAGAAATAAACCAAAATCTAATCTAATGTTCAAGCTACTAAAGATGCAGATAAGGAGTGCTCTCTCCCAGGACATAATGTATATTCACATACTAGTAGACAACTATGAGAAAGCCCAACTAAGGAAGCACTGAAGAACCGAACTTGAACATATTTCTTATTCCTGCCTCATGCTGCATGAGGGGTGGGAAGGGGTGGTAAGTTGGTTCATTTCCTCTTGCTCTCATTTATCACAAAGTTACAGAGGCAAAATGAGATTAAAAGACATAAAAAGTCACTCCATAGGTGTAACATTTTTCATTGCTTTTTAAGATGCAAAATGTTAGTAATGCTCTTATTACATACATCTCAAGTCTCCTGCTGCTTACCTGGTAATGTAGTAGCTGGATTCATTGATGGTACAGAAGTGAGGGACTGGTTTACTTGTGGTGGCAATAATGGTACTGTTGGTACACCTAAAATAAAAGTACAATCTTTTAAAAATTTATAACAAATTCAGTTGACAAAGAATAAACAGATTATATTCACAGTGTTTAGTCCCCCTACCCTCCCCCGCCCCCCAGGTGGTCAGTGGGACTTCATTTAGTTAATTTCTGGCTGTGTCACTAGGTGTCACAGCTGGTCTATCTACTCTGCCCATGGCCCCTAACAAAAACTGTTAGAGCCTGGGCCGAGAGGGCGGGAGGCTCAGCAAAGCCAGTCCAGCTAAGCTCACTGGATGAGACTTGTACACTTGACCTAAGCAGGGTTAGATTACAAAATTGTTTTTGCAAATCTGGAAATGGAATGCAAAGATTAGTCAGTCTCCATTGGGCTCCTGAACTAAGAAACCATGGGGACCTGGGCCTGCTGGAGGGCTGGGAGCCATATGCCTGATGAAACAGTGAGTGCTGGGCTCTGAAAGAGGAAAGAGACAAAAGAGCACGTGAACCTCCAGAGATGGAGAGAATGACATGGCTTCCTGGATCTCCATTTCCATTTGACTATAGGTTCTGTGACACTTCTTTGAGGTCCAGCACATTCCCACTTTCACTTATGCTAGCTTGAGGAGGCTATGTTCTTTATATACAAATAACTCTTAAGATACTGCCTGATCAAGATTACCTACTAAAGTTTCTCACCTACTTATGTGGGAGGTTTTGCTGATGTCAAAACGATAGTAATATTGCAAATGAATTCTAGTTTTTATCTTAATCTTATAGAGATCTGCTTAAATACAGTAGTAGAAATGAATTGTGCCTAAAAGTATGAAGCAACCATCTTCAGATATTTATTTATTCATGTATATATTTACTGCAGAAATTGGAGGCATGCAAAAGTAGAAGAGGATTCTTTGCTTTTATCAGACTCTCCAAGAGGTTGTTGGATGGTTGGTTGGTGCGTTCATTTACTCAAGTTTTTGAGGGGCACTTATTATATATTAGATATTGTTCTAGACCCGGAGGCTCTTCACAGCATAAAAAAAATAGGAATCAAGACCTTTACGAAATTTACATTCTAATGAAGGCCAGAAAAGACAAATATTAAACAAATAAAATACATAGTATGTAAAATGGTGTAAGTTCTCTGCAGAAAAACTGAGCAAAGAAGGGGGTCGGGAAGTGTTGTGGGGGTGTACCAGAAAGGTCACACTGATTAATGCCATTTCAACATGATACATTCATTTTCTAAAACTTTCATAATCTAAAAATTATCAACCCACAGAGAAGTCATTTTTAAAAACCATATATTTCTATATTTCTACAGTTACTATTTGGGCTACTTTGCAGCAATATAATTAAAAGCAAAGACAGCCCTAGCTGGTTTGGCTCAGTGGATAGAGCGTTGGCCTGGGGATTGGAGGGTCCCGGGTTCGATTCTAGTCAAGGGCACATGCTCGGGTTGCAGGCTCGATCCCCAGTAGGGGGTGTGCAGGAGGCAGCTGATCAATGATTCTCTCTCATCATTGATGTTTCTATCTCTATCTCCCTCTCCCTTCCTCTCTGAAATCAATAAAAATATATTTAAAAAAATAAAATAAAAGCAAAGACAGAAAAATAAATGCCTAACAAAAAATTGTTTCTCACACTATGATGCTAGGACATAGGAGTATTTTTAAACTGAGTTACTCGAAGTGAAAATGTTAGTATCTTACAGTCTCTTTTGAGCAATTACTGCTTTATCTATACTCTTTCTTTTAATATTCAAGAAACCATTTCTCTGTAGTGTTATAAGGTCAAGGATCTCAGTGCATGTGCTTGTAAGATAATACAAGTACTGTATAACTCTAATGTAATGAGGGAAGAGCTAAAATGTCAAAAAGAAACTGGGACTTGAAGAGAGATGTTATGTTAGCTGTCCTCTAAAATCAGAAGACTTATCATAAGGCATAGGAACCCTCTTACTCTAAAGCAGGTAGAGTTACTCAGACACAGATACAGCCTCTGCCGTGAGAAGAACCCCAATCCACCTTCACTAAGTCTATTCAGGAAAACTACAGGAGCATCTGATGGGGTATAAGAAAAAAAAATCATAATATAAAAAGAATTCAAACACCACTTATATGAAACAAACTTTAAAATCCCTCCCAACTGTATCTAAGACTTGATATTGATGACATTAATAGTTAATGTCACCTAGGAAATGTCCTGAAACTGGATTGTGGTGATGACTGCACAACCCCCTACTTAAATATACTGAAAGACACTGAATTGTATATTTACAGCGAATTAATTTTATGGTATGCACATAACACCTCAATCAAGTTGGGAAAAAAACTTAACAAAAAGTCTGGCTGGCATGGCTCAGTGGTTGAGCATCGATCTATGAACCAGGAGGTCACAGTTTGATTTCTGGTCAGGGCACAAGCCCGGTTGGGGCTCAATCCCCAGTGCGGGGTGAACAGGAGGCACCGATCAATGATTCTCTTTCATCATTGATTTTTCTATCTCCCTCTTCCTTACTCTCTGAAATCAATAAAAATATACTGGGAAAAAACAACAACAAAGAGTAGGGGTGGGAAGATATGTCACCATACTGATAACAAATGAAGCTGGATAGTGAGGGTTTGTTATACTATTCTACCCATTTCTGAGTTAAATTTTTAATTATAAGAAATTAAAATTTAAAAATTCATCTAGAAAAACACTTCTTTGGGGGGAAAAAACAAAGATTCTAAAAAAAGCTTTGATTTGAACCTAGGGGACCAACTCCAGAGATTATACTCTTGACCTTAAGTATATCTTGCTGGGCTGTTTTAAATCCATTCCAGAACATGTAAGCAAATATTGAATACAAATAGCTCAAGAATAAAAAGTACTAAGGAAATAAAACTAAACCATGTCAGTATTTAATTCACTTACTCAATATCTGAGTACATAATATACTCTAGGTATAGTATTACGAAGGAAGAAAACCAAAAAACAGAAGATTTTTTAAAAAGGAAAGAAAAAAATAAACTCTACCAACATACCAAGTTAAGAACTATATTATGTGACCAAGCAATTCCATAAAAACTTGTACTCAAATGTTCATAGCAATACTATTAATAGTAGCCAAAAAGTAGAAATAATTTAAAAAGTCCCTCAACTGATGAATAAACAAAATGTGGAATATCAATCCAATGGGATAATATTTAGCCATAAAAAGGAACGAAGTTTTAATATATGCTATGACATGAATGAATCTTAAAAACATTATTCAAAGTGAAAGAAGCCAATCACAGGAAACTGCACATATCTATCTATATATATAAAAGCCAAGTGACCGGAACGACAGGTTGCTATGACACACACTGCGGCCGGCCAACCAGCCCAGCCGTGGGTGGGGTCAGCTGGCCAACCTCCCTCGGCCCCTCCCCCCAGCTGGACCCCACCCGTGCACGAATTCGTACACCGGGCCCCTAGTATTATATGAAAGGCCTAGATTAGACAAATCCATAGAAAGAAAGTAGATCAGTAACTGCCTAGGCCAAGCGAGGAGGGGGAACATTGGGGAAAAATAGGAAGTGACTGATAATGGGTACAGGGTCTCTTTTGGGGGTAATAAAATTTTTCTAAAATTGACTGAGGTGATGATTAAACAACTCTGCAAATAAACTCACCACCCCCACCGAAATGTATATTTTAAATGGGCGAATTGTTTGGTATGTGAATTAGATTTTGATAAAGCTGTTAAAAAAATAACAACATGCCCTAACTGGTTTGGCTCAGTGGATAGAGCGCCGGCCTGCGGACTCAAGGGTCCCAGGTTCGATTCCGGTTGAGGGCATGTGCCTTGGTTGCGGGCACATACCCAGTGGGGAGTGTGCGGGAGGCGGCTGATCAATGTTTCTCTCTCATCGATGTTTCTGACTCTCTATCCCTCTCCCTTTCTCTCTGTAAAAAAATCAATAAAATGTATTAAAAAAAATAACATCACAAAAACAAACAGGGACTATATGTATTAGGTAGAACAAGTAATAAAGGAAAGGAGACAGACACATGTTTCCTGAGCAAGACTGAGCTCCTAGGAAAGGAATACATGGTATCCTGCTCACTTTTGTATCCCCAGTGTTTACCACTTCAGGGATATGCAACATCTGTTGAATAAACAGAGCAATTAAACAGAATTTCAAGGTAGAGTCCTGGCTCTACAACTTGTACAATATTAAGAGAAGCCCAAAGTCAGAACTATACTGAGAAGAGGTTTAAATGCTGTGTGTCAAATGCATGGTGATTTAGTACTAAGTTTCACAGACAGGGCCTGTCAATACAGAGCATATTTACAGTTTTCAAAGTATACTGGCATCGATTTTTTAAAATTGTATAGCGGGAGACAGAAAAGAGTATCAGGTCAAACAAAGTAGACTGAAAAACAGAATACATTTTCTGTGTACCTGTACTGAGAACATTACTGATAGCTGGTGCAGTTGAGCTAATAGAAAGTCCTGACAGACTCTGTTCAATATCTGTGGTTCCTGGTGGGGACAACGATGGGGGATTAACCGAGGACAACTGGACCTTCCGGAAAAAAAAAGAAAAAGTAGAAAGAAAAAAAATTACTCAAGTGTATTTACAAGAAAATATAAATATTGACTCTCACCGGTCCTACAGATTTTTTGATCATATACTGTCAAATATGTTAACCCAGCACTTCTGCCTTCTGGGACTCTTTCCTAATGTTGGTATATGCCAAGGACTATGCACTGTAACTACCTTCCCATCCTGTCACTTCCAGTCTCTTGACACATGGCATCTACCTTTTTACACACACTGTTATAGCTACTTCCACACTAGGAGTAGATTCTATCCTCCTCATTCCGGGCCATCCAAAAATCACTTTACTCAACCCTTATATCACCACTGCTTTCTTCTTCTTTGAGTTCTCAGCCAATTTTTGTTTTAAATTTTCATTGGTCATGGAAGAAATCAGATGGAAGTCTTAAAACCATGATAAATTCCTTAGACATTTCTCAAGATGCCTCACCTCATAAGTCCACCTTATCTTTTTTCATCAATGAATGAATGTGGCAGCCAGATCTCTACCTTCCAGCAAGAGAAAATGAATGAGTCTATATGGATTCTATACACATGGGTGGATAGGTAGTTTTACCTCTGAATACTCTATTTCTGCTAGCTCCAATGCCTTCTAGCACATTTCAACATACTTATATAATAGCCCTTTTCCCTAGTTGCTATTTCATCCTTTGTCTTCTGACTGTCCTAGAGGCTCATCTGGTTAGGGGCAGCAGATATGGGCAGGGGAGTCTCAACATATAACTACGCTGCTCTGGCCATAAGCCAATGGTGGGGATGAGGAGGAAGTGGAGGTTATACTACTTCAGAGCTCCTCTTCACTTTCTCTAGAATCTGGTCAAAATGTGTACCATAAAATGACAGTGGTAGCAGCCTTTTCTTTACAACTGTAGCATTTTCTTTTTTGATGTTTGGTTTTGAATTAGTTGTGTAGACAAGAGTTAATCGTTCTGTGAGGCCTGCTTAGGATACAGTTTAAAGGCCTTTAATCCTGTGCAAGTATCTCTTATTCCTTAAAAAGCTTCATTTTGATCCTGTAACAGTCCCCCCACACACCTAGCATTCTTTGCTTTCCCAGTCAAGTTTCTTGAAATAATAAACACCAGCTATCATCACTTAATCATTCACCATTCACCCCCTATCTCCCTTTTTCTTAAAGCTTTGTTCTCCCCCTGGACCTCTCATGAGCTTCCTTTCTCTGCCCATCCATTTAAATACTAGAAATGTTCAAGATTCCAATGTCAGTCCTTCGACTCACTCAGAGGCCAATCCCTTGACAATTTTTATTAATGCTCATTGGGTTAAATTACCCTCTCTTTCCTGATGATTCCCAAATCTATATCTCTAGCCTTGTCTTCTTTCTTAAAATCCATACCTGTAGAATATCCAAATGTATATTCAAATTCAGCATGGTCAATACTTAACTCATCATCTACCCTACAACAATTAGTGCTACCACCACATACATCAACACTCAAGTCATTTTGGTGGAAACTTTATGATATAATCATATAGTAAAGTTGTCTTACCTCTGTAAACCCATCTTTAAGAGGAGTAATAGGTGTACCAGTCATCTGTCCTGGAAGAGATATTTTCTTTCCTTCTTCAAAGGGGCGTGTAGGTATTCGATGTAAATAACCATACCCAATGCCACATCCTAGGCTATGAAAAAAATATTTTTAAAAGTTACTGTTATCAGTCATAGCTTGCATTTCATTGAGGTTTTGAAATATAAAAAAACATTTCCATTCTTTTAAATAATGTCATCTTATCAGAGGCTCCCCTGACCACCCTCTTATGAAATACCACCATGGGCATTACCCTTAACTCTATTTTTCTTCAAGTATTTATTACCATCCAACACACCTTATATTATTTTCTGTCTCCCTTAATAAAATGTTAAGGTTCTTGAGGGCAGAGACCTTGTTTTGTTTAATGCCTTGAGCAGTTCCTGATACATGGTAGACACTTAATAATTATTTGCTGAATGAATGCCATAGTCTTTGCACAGAAGAGCTCCAAGCACTTCTGTATGATAATGTAATTTACACATCTCATAGTTCTATTTCAAAACACAACAAAAATCAATCCAAATTAATCCAGACTCCAATTCATCCTCTTACTGTTACCAGAGGCCATCTTTTTTTTTTTTAAGAGGAGAATGATGATTTTTATTTTTATTTTTTAAAAATATATTTTATTGATTTTTTACAGAGAGGAAGGGAGAGGGATAGAGAGTTAGAAACATCGATGAGAGAGAAACATCGATCAGCTGCCTCCTGCACACTCTCTACTGGGGATGTGCCCACAACCAAGATACATGCCCTTGACCGGAATCGAACCTGGGACCCTTGAGTCCGCAGGCTGATGCTCTATCCACTGAGCCAAACTGGTTAGGGCGAGGCCATCTTTTTAATGATATGATTACATTGCTTCTTTCCATAGTCTATTGGCCTCCCAATATTTATTTTTCCTTCTTCCTTTTGGAGAATTATTTCTCTGCTGTTGTGTGCAGTACTGGTGTGACTGTCAATCAGAAGGCCTCTCCTGCCCAAACCAAGGAGTTGCTAGTGACCAAAGCCAATCCATCTCTCCTGCCCATGGCTACGACCCTTTCACAGGGGTCGCCTAAGACCATCGGAAAACACATATATAATTACATATTGTTTTTGTGATTAATCACTATGCTTTAATTATGTTCAATTTATAACAATGAAATTGGGGTCACCACAACATGAGGAACTGCATTAAAGGGTTGTGGCATTAGGAAGGTTAAGAACCACTGGCTTACAGCAATGACAGCTGGTTTCTACTGTTTGGAACCAAAGAGCCCCCACTGATACAATATCATCGTCCCACTGACCAAAGTATATACTAATTTCCTGACCATGGTATTTAAGGCCCATCATAATCAGGTTCCAACTGTTTCTATCGTGATTGCTTTTATTTCCCAAACTACTTGACACTTTCTGAGTAGGCCAGGCAGACATGTCTGTGCCTCTCCCCTGCCAAGGCATTTATTATTTCTATGTGTATTACCACCACCAAAAGCTGGGAGAGCAGGCAGTGGCCAACTTAAGCTTTTCCTTATGCAAATCTGATTTCACAATGATGCTTCACATTACAAAATTACTTGTTCCTGCTCTCACTTTTTTTCCCTTCCTTCTACCATCAAAACTGCAATTCTCACTGAACTGGATCTCAGATAAATTTGAAGGGAGTAAGATTAAATAATTTACACTGATCGATGATAGCCTTTCAGAGGTAGTTACATTTTAAAACAAGGTGCTTATTAATCAAAATAACTAAGTGGTGATAGAGAGGCACTTGAAGGCAACAGCAAGACATTCTGCGAACTTAAAGCTAGCCCAAGAATGAAACTAAGAGAAATATGCTGTAATGAATGAAATGTGGACAGCCTCAGAGGAGGGGATAAAAACCAGAAGCAGACACATGACAAATGAGAGTAGACTCAGGAAAATGGTATGTATGGGCCTGTTTAAACCAATGGCTGATCAATGGTACTAAGTCATGTCAAAAGGAAAAATGTCTTCCAAAGAAAAGGAATAATTGCCAGAGTCTAGAAAAGAAGGGCTCTAAGAACAAGAATGTAGCAGTGTAATTAAAAATTAAAGAACTAGTGATGACTTCCCCAGCTGCAGAATCTCTTCCTTGCACGTTGATTCTATGCTCACCAAGCAATCTTGTGGTACTAATCGGACCTAAGTATTCTAACTGGAGAACCTATTAGTTTCTTTTGTAAACTGAAAATTTGCCATTCTAATAAATACAGCAGCTTCCTTAAAAATTTAGTTTTATGTGGCAGTCCCTCTGAAATTAGTTGACTTTGAATGTCTTAAGATCATATTCTGTGGCTATAAACCTGGACAATGAACAATGACAACTTGATCAAGTATTGCTTCAGGCAGGCCAGATTCTTAAAATGAGAGCTCTATCTCATTTTCTCAAATTGCAACAACTCAGCATTCTGATGGCAACATAGACTCTCAGGTAGTGTGGGTAAAGGTAATAGTGTGAGCAAATAGAGGTTTTTCTCTGCCTGCATCAACTAAGTCATCCTTTTCCCAGCAAATGGCAGAACTTTTACAAAACACTTGGAAGTTTCCAAACCCTAAGCTTTCCTATAATAATTACTATCCTATATAATAAAAGGCTAATATGCAAATAGATCGAATGGCATAACAACAACCGGTCACTATGACATGCACTGACCACCAGGGGGTCTGCACAGAACACGGCAGACGTCGACAGCAGGCGGCAGAGTGCAGAACATGGTGGGCGTCGGCCGTGGCGGGATGGTGGAGCAGTGAGTGGGGGCATCAGACCAAGGCGGGGTGCCAGTTGCTATCATCAGGGAGAGCCTCTGGTAGTTACTGAAAATTTTTTTGTTCCCATGCACCATGGTTCCAGCCGGCACTCGCACCCGCTGCCGGCACTACCGCTCCCACCCACTGCCAGAGCCCAGCGCTGTCCCGATTGCCCCTGAGGGGTTCTCCACCTCCCCCTGCTCCTGAGGGGCGATCGGGGCAGCAGCCACCCCACTCGCACCCACTACTGGCACCGGCCCCAACGGCTCCACACCTTCAGTGGGTTTGAGTGGGGTTGGCACCATCAGTGTGTGGGAGCAGCAGCGGCGGGAGTGGGGCTGCCGGCAGACAGGGAACTGGGGGCCGCGGTAGTAGGGGCCGGGTGAGGGCACAGAGGATGGGCTGAGACCCACCCCTGTGCCCACTGCAGCCTCATGGCCCACAGTTCCTTTCAAGGTGCACGAATTTATGCACTCGGCCCCTAGTGATTAATAATTCTTCCAATTAAAAAAGGCTTAGGACTTTCAAAATATTGAAAAATTTGTACAATTTAAGCAACAGCTGAAAGAACTAAAAAAAAGCAATGTAAATCAGCATGCTTTGCTTTAGCTTTTTGAAATTAGGGAACTGACTTGATAAACAGTCCCAGAAAACTGATTTTATAAAATCTGTTTACCTGCTTGGCTTGATCCTCTTTCTAAATTGAGTTTTATGGTTATTGCAATTTTGTCTAATTCTTGGTTGAAATCAGCCTATCTATTTCTGAAATCCAACAGTTTCCACAAAGTCTAAGAAATCTTCCCAGCAGCTAGAGAAAGTTACACTGTATTGCCCCATTGTTGAAGGGGGGAATTAGGAAAATAAAATAAAACTGAACTATTTGATTAAAATAACAAAACAAAAAAAGGCTATTACCTCTTAGGTCAGTAAAAAAAAAAAAAAGGACTATAGTCTATATACCAGTCTTCCTAAATATGTACTTTAAAAGAAGAATTATTGCTTGGCCAGTGTGGCTCGGTAGTTGAGCTTCAACTCACGAACCAAGAGGTCCCAGGTTCAACCCCCAAAAGGGGGACATGCAGGAGGCAGCTAGCTAATCAATGTTCCTCTCTATCCCTCTCCTTGCCTATCTCTCTTAAAAAAAAAATTTAAACATTTTTTTAAATGAATTTAGGTTCAATATTCTAGATCAGGGGTGGGGAACATCCGGCCTACAGGCCATATAAGGCTCTCAAAATCAATTGGTCTGGCCCTGCCAAGGCAACCACAGGCGGGAATCAAAATTCAATAAATCTAGGAGCTTTGTTCATAGCAACATAAATTTATATTAAGTGAATTATACTCAACGAATGATGTTATAAATATCCAAATGGCCCTTGGCAGAAAAAAGGCCCCCCACCCCTGTTCTAGGTCAATGCTTTCCTTTTTTCAAGAGATGTCTTATAATAAAGCAATAACTTATCTACACTAATAAAAGACAAACATGCAAATTGACCTTACCTTTGCTATGCCTTAAGCCACGCCCACCAGCCAATCAGAGCGACTATATGCAAATTAACCCAACCAAGATGGCGGCCGGCAGCCACGGAGCTGGAGCAAGCAAGAGGCTTGGTTGCCCCAATGATGGAGGAATCCAAGCTTCCCGGCTCTGAGCTCCACTCAAAGCAACAAAGTTTCAATTATAGAAGGTAAATAAACCCCAGATACCTGCTTTCAGCTGGCTGTGGCCACGGAGCTGGAGCGAGCAGGAGGCTTCCCTCCCACCCACCCTGGCCGGCTCTGAGCTCCTCTAAAGGCTACAAAGTTTCAATTATAGAAGGTAAATAAATCCCAGAATTAAAAAAAGAAAAGAAAAAAAGGAGAGGCTGGGAGCTTCCGTCGCCGGGGGGGTTGGCCAGCCTGAAAACGGCCCTCAGCCCCTCACCCAGACTGGCCAGGCACCCCAGTGGGGACTCCCCACCCTAAAGGGGTTGTGGTCAGCCTGAAAACAGCCCTCAGCCCCTCACCCAGGCTGGCCAAACCTCCATGGGGTGAGGGTCCTCACTGGGGGGGGCTTGACCAGCCTGAGAACAGCCATCAGCCCCTCACCCAGCTGGCCAGGCACCCCAGTGGGGACCCCCACCCTGAAGGGGGTGTGACCAGCCTGCAAACAGCCATCAGCCCCTCACCCAGGCTGGCCAGGCACCCCAGTGGGGACCCCCACCCTGAAGGGGGTGTGACTAGCTGTAAACAGCCATCAGCCCCTCACCCAGGCTGGCTAGGCACCCCAGGGGACCCCCACTCTGATCTGGGACACCCTTCAGGGCAAACCAGCTGGCCCCCACCCGTGCACCAGGCCTCTATCCTATATAGTAAAAGGGTAATATGCAAACTAACCCTAACAGCAGAACGACTGGGAATGACTGGTCACTATGACACACACTGACCACCAGGGGGCAGACACTCAATGCAGGAGCTGCCCCCTGGTGGTCAGTGTGCTCCCACAGGGGGAGCTCTGCTCAGCCACAAGCCAGGCTGATGGCTGCCAGTACAGTGGTGGTGGTGGGAGCCTCTCACGCCTCCTCAGCAGCGCTAAGGATGTCCGACTGCAGCTTAGGCCTGCTTCCCGCTGGCAAGTGGACATCCCCCGAGGGCTGCCGGGCTGCCAGAGGGATGTCTGACTGCCAGCTTGGGCCCAATCCTCCAGGGAGCGGGCCTAAGCCAGCAGGTGGACATCCTCCAAGGGGTCCCAGACTGCAAGAGGGCATAGGCCGGGCTGAGGGACACCTGCCCCCCCCCCCCCCGCCCAGTGCACAAATTTTTGTGCACTGGCCTCTAGTTTCAAAATGAAAACATCAATTTTTACAACACATCTAAGTTTAAGCAGTTATAATTTAGTCTAAAAATGACCATACCTGCCTTCTCCACCCCATGCAGAATTTGGTGTAATAATCACTTCTCGACAGTTATCAGTGTCTGTATTATACACATAAAGTTTCAATGGTTTTGTTTCATGTGTTTCAATAAGGCTGAACAGATCTTCAGACTGCAAAAACATCACAGGAGAAAAATATTTTTATGTTACTGAACTTTAGAACAGTGAGTCTCAAACCTGGCTAATATCAGAATAGTAACCTGGAAACTTTAAAAAACACAAACACACAACCTTGCTGGGTGGCTAAGTTGGTTGGAGAATCGTCCTGTACACCAAAAGGTTGTGGGTTTGATTTCCAGACAGGGCACATACCTAGATTGAGGGTTTGATCCCCAGTTGGGGCACATACAGGAGGCAACCAATTCATGTTTTTCTCTCACATCAATATTAATGTCTCTCTCTCTCTTCCTCTATATCTAAAATCAATAAACATATCCTCAGGTAAGGATGAAAAAACAGAAACACATACACACAGATTGTGGGCCTTGCCCCAAACATAAACATCATTTCTTAAAACTGATACTCAAACAAGGGTTTAATTTAATATATGACCTATTTACTACATGCAAGGCCTATGTCCACTTTCATAAGACCTAGTCAGCAATTTTAGTAAAACTCTTCTACACACAAATCCTATGTATTCTGCTTTTGCTCTCTATGAGTAAGACTTGGTTATCTGGGCACCTTATTTTTTCTCTCATTTTTGATTTAGCAATATATACTTTCACTAGCTATCAGGCAAGGAAAAGAATTAAAATAGCTGAGCCAATTTTGTGACCTCTTTTTAGGAAGAGAAAATGAAATCAATAACCAAAATGAGGATTTGATTTAGCCTTGAGGTATGTAAGAGATTTTTTAAAAAATATATTTTAATGATTTTTTACAGAGGAAGGGAGAGGGACAGAGAGTTAGAAACATCGATGAGAGAGAAACATCGATCAGCTGCCTTCTGCACACCCCCTACTGGGGATGTGCCCGCAACCAAGGTACATGCCCTTGACTGGAATCGAACCCGGGACCCCTCAGTCCGCAGGCCGACGCTCCATCCACTGAGCCAAACCAGTCAGGGCCATAAGAGATTTTTATATGCCATACACAAAATTTGTGCAACTGCTACACAGTATGCATTTCCACCCATAGCTATACTAATGAGACACCTCCCAGATGTTCTGTTTAACTCCCTGGCATAAGTGATCTTGACCGGCAAAGACCCAAATTTCAACTCTAATTGCAAAGTATGCACATATACTTCTGAACTTAAACATTAATAAGAAAATGTTACATAATTTTCTTTAATAAACAGACTAATTACCTCATTCATGACAGTATCTGCTCCAATGATATAATCACTGTGAGGTCTAAGACCTGCCCGTGCCGCTGGAGAATTTGATTCTACTTCCTATGGTGACACAAAAACACAGCCCAAAATTAATATACATAAAATAATCTTCCAAATTTTATAGCTCACAGTCCTTAATTATAATGATTAAAAACCCCTACATTTGTAATTGTCTTGTTATGTCACATAATCTTTAATATTTAAAATACTTCTATAGCTATCTCCTTTAACATTTCTTCTCATAACAGATAAATCATTATTTGCTTCTCTTCCTCACCTCATGCATTTAAAAAAATAACATGTATTTTAACAGAAATGAATTCTGATTTTCAAGAACTAAAATAGCCTAATAATAATAATATCCCTACAATCTCAACCAAACTGGAGATAACCACTGATAGAACACCTTTCTACACTGCTTCTTAAACTGCAAGTAGCAGCTTACAAGTGATACGTACCAACACATGCCAAACGTTTTCATTTGCCCCATCAAAGCTGCAGAAACGAATGCTCACTCCCAACAAGCCCTGGCCACCCCACATGTTACTTGGTGTGACTGAGGTCTCTCGCAGCTCCAGTGTTTTACTACTGTAGATAAGCATTTTTACAGGCTTTTCAACATTTGCTTTCAGTAGATCCTTAAGAGTATCATTGTCTTTATTCTGTGAACACATAAAATTATTTTTCTTAATAAATAAAAATGTAATGTTAACTACCTTAGTTTAAGCATCCTATGGCCTATTGGAGTAATATTAATCAACACAAAGCATTCTATGGGCAAAGGTTTCATTAACATTCCAAAGTTCCTCCAAGTAAAAGAATGTTAAGAAGGTAAGAACAATCCTTGTTAGCAACAACTTCTGACTTTTTTCTAACAACTAACTACAGATTACGGAATTTGCAACCCAACATGGATTGAAGTGATCTAGGGCTTCAGTGATAAAACCCCCAAAATATTCCATAAGAAGTCATATTACTAACAGGATTGGTATGACTTTGGTTTTAAAATCTAAAACGTTTGCTGGCATTGAAGTTTAATTTTGGATTCTACTCCTAAATATAAAGTTTATTTATTTAATAGGAACTGGCAGGAAAAAGAAAATGGAAGCAGTATGTTAAATATTTCATTACATAAATGAATAAAGGCCATTATGTAGATGTTGAAAAGTAATAAAAACAACACTTCTGTGAAAAAAATAAGCCAACCAAGTAGCCACTGTCATAAGAATTTCCTTTGCTGAAATTATGTAATTCCCTTCCTACAGGGCTTTATTATAGGTAAACTGAAAGCAACTTATAAAAAGTGGTTTTAATTCTGCATTTTTGGAACACATCTATCTGGTTCTAGTAACATTACTTATATACACAAGAAAACTGACAAGTTGAGAGTCATTTGTCAATAACCTACAAAAGTTTGACATCTTTAAAAAAAGCAAATGTTTTAATATTTTTTTCTGCATAAAAACATTTAAATATTTAACATTTAAAGTAAAAGTCTCCAGTGATTTTATTCCCCTAAAACAATTGCTGGAGTGTCAAGTATAGTATTTTATATTTGACATTTTCATACGTTTACTAACAATTATTTTTACAAACTGGTAACACACTTTGTTTGTAACTAATGAATAAACACCAGTTCCATATAATCTGAAAAATTCCGTTTTCAAAAGATACAAAATACTACACACGAAGGTACAAAAAGCTGAACTTACTAATCTTGAACCATTAATAGAAACAATAAAATCAAAGAATGGTTCCAGTCCAGCTCTATGTCCTGGGGAATTTTCTTGTACCTGTAAAAACAAAAATGCCAATATGAAAAATACAAAGCTTAATTAAAAATTGTAAGTAAAATTTTAATACCCATTTCTTCTGTAAAACTAGATTAATTTTATCAATAAAAAATTATAGCTACACACTAGTTCTCTCATTTCTCTTCATCTATTCCAGAAAATAAATACCCTTGCAGCTTCCTAAATTCTACCCATTCTTTATGTTCACCTCCTATATGAGGCTTTCCCTCTGATTCTATTAACACCACTTTCTACTTTTTGGAGGCAGGTTGCGGGGCAATCCTCCGAGCATTTAGCACATGACACAACAGATAGTAATTTATTACAACTAAGTGACAAATTCAAATTAATTTTGGGAGCATTTATTCCATAAATGCTACTAGCAAGGAACAATTACTAGTTAAAACTAATATAGGATCATAGTGGCTGGTGTCAAAACATTTATAATCTGTGGAGAAACAGGCAAGAAGAGAAAGGGGAGACAGAGGACATATAGGACTCTAATAACTGTGCTACAAGACCAAAAAAGTAAGAGTTAAATGTAGGTATAAAGCTCTAAAAGAAAGATTAATTCTAATTGAAGAAGCTTCACACACACACACACACACACATTTGAACTGTACTTTAAAAAGGAGGTAGAACTTTCAAAGGTGAAAATGAACAAGGGGATAAGGACATCTGAAAGTTGAAGAAATGATATGAGTAAAAACCCTAAAGGAGTCTGAAAAATGAGGATGATAACATAGTATAGCTAGACAACAGGGTGGTGTGGGATAGAAATACAGAATTATAGGTTTTGAAAATCAGAAGTCCTCTAATACAAGAAAAGGTCTGTGGGTGGCGTCAGGGAACACTGCCACTCCGGAAATGATATGCTACATTTTCTATGAATCAGCAGTTTTCATCATATTCTCAAAGGATTTCTCCATGACACAAATAAAGTGTTGAAAGCACTTAAAAGAATTTTGGGCAATTCATTTATTTTACAGGTAAAAAAACCATTTTGTTGCTTGTCTACAGGCCATAGCTGGCTAGTGGTAGAGGTGAAACTCAAAAGTACATTTTACATGCCGAACCGGTTTGGCTCAGTGGATAGAGCGTCGGCCTGGGGACTCAGGGGTCCCAGGTTCGATTCCGGTCAAGGGCATGTACCTTGGTTGCTGGCACATCCCCACTGGGGGGCGTGCAGGAGGCAGCTGATGGATCTCTCTCATCACTTAAAAGAATTTTGGGCAATTCATTTATTTTACAGGTAAAAAAACCATTTTGTTGCTTGTCTACGGGCCATAGCTGGCTAGTGGTAGAGGTGAAACTCAAAAGTACATTTTACAACTATTAATCCAATAAGGAGGCTGCTGGAAAGAGTGCAGCCAAATTTATAGAGGACTTTAAGTGAAAGAGTAGGACTATTTAGCTTCTCAACAACTCAACTGTTTAGCACCCAACTTTGAAATGGATTAAAATTACCTATTAAATTTTCTGAAATTGAAATAATAAAATTAGTAGCTGGCAGTATTAGTAATATGACAAGCAAAAAAGTTAATATAACCCACTTTGCATCTCTCTATAATCCTATCTAATAAAAAGGGAATATGCTAATTGACCCTCATGCCGTTGCAAAGATGGCGGCACCCAGTCCCTTCAGCCCCACCAGGGCGCCTGCCTCCAGAGTCCCCCCAGTCCTCTCAGCCTCCCAGATGCCCAGGGCCGGCCCGAGGTGCAGGTAACCAGGGCCGGCCGAGGCTTGCGCTGCTAGCAGTGGCAGCAGCAGAGGTGTGATGGGGCGTCGCCTCCCCCTGATCGCCGGGTCGCCTCCCGCCCCTGAGGGCTCCCAGACTGTGACAGGGGGCAGGCCACCTGAGGGACACCCCCCTCCAGTGCATGAATTTTCATGCACCGAGCCTCTAGTATTTTCATAATGTTTTAAGGAATTGTTATTCTGCTTTGAAAACAAAGTTTGAATTGATATTTGTAGGCTGATTTTCTCTAACCGTCTAAAGAGTTTTAATAGTCAATTCTGAGGCTAAGCAAATAACAGATACATACATTCATCCATACATAAATCTGTAGCTATTTACACAGTAACAAATCATTTTAATGCTTTCAAAATTGAACACAGATTGTTCCCAGAATATGTCCCTTTAATATCTGACTTCTTGGATTAGTATTACCTTTATTTAAAGCCAAATTATACTATCATTGCCTCTGAAGAAGTAAAACTAAATTTTTCCCCATTTGTCACAATAAGGAATAGTTAGTTGTCCATTATAAAGATGCTTCAATGTTTAATTTAGTAAAACTGTTTGATTTTGCTTTATGCAAATTACCCTGCAAATGTGAGACTTAATCATTTTTTAAATTAAGTAAGTTAAATTACCAAAGGGATTTAAAAGTGTTACCTTTAATAAAAATAGTCAATATATACTTGTTTAGTTTCTGTATACTCAAGTTTTCTTAAATGGGGGCTATTATATTCTGCATATAGGGTGGAGCAAAAGTAGGTTTACAGTTATGAGTACATGAAATGAAGTTTATTCCTATATTATTATTAATCCATTAGTAGAGGCCTGGAGCACAAAATTCATGCACTAAGGAGTGGGGGTCCCCTCCGCCTGCCTACAGCGGAGGCAGGAGAGGCTCCCGCCACTGCTGCTGTACTCACCAGCCGTGAGCCCGGCTTCTGGCTGAGTGGCGCTCCCCCTGTGGGAGCACACCTACCATCAGGGGGCAGCTCCTGCATTGAGCGTTTGCCCCCTGATGGTCAGTGCGTGTCATAGCAACCGGTCGTTCCACTGTCCGGTCGATTTGCATGTTAACCTTTTATTATATAGGAGGATTGTATAACTTTCCATATGAACAACTGCTAACCCTTTGTCCCACCCTGTATTGTCAAGCAAACTGTCTAGAACCCAAAATGGCAGATAGATTTCTCCTCAAATGGCAACTCTGCAAAGGAAAATGGTGGCAGCTTGGACCTATGAGAAGAAAAGTGAAGTCAAGTCACAGCTGGCTGGGAAAAAAAGAGTCAAAGATCTGCCAGGTGTGAAATACCTGTCTATTAGGATCTTATCCATTAGGTGCAAAATGCTTCAGGTGTGAAGATAATTAGCATAAGCCCTAGAACAGTGGTTCTCAACCTTGGCTGCACATTAGAATCACCTGGGAATCTTTTTAAAATCCTGATTTCTGGGCTTCATCCTCCGGAAATTCTGTTTCTTTGTTAAAAGAAATGAGAATTTGTTATCATGCAAATCAACCGAACAGTTTCTTTGTTAAAAGAAACAGAATTTCCGGAGGATGAGGCCCAGAAATCAGGATTTTAAAAAGATTCCCAGGTGATTCTAATGTGCAGCCAAGGTTGAGAACCACTGCCCCAGAAGCTCCTCAGAGTGAAGTTTCTCATTTAATAGGGCCCATTATCTAATAATTCTGTTTTATCTAGAAACTAACATGTTCACTGATCAATTTCACACGTCTCCACTGAGGCTGCCAAAAGTTTACCTTTTAGTTAAAAAAAGGCTAAAGACAATGCTTTTTGTAATGTCATCACCAACTGGGAAAGTTGGTCTCACATACAGAATCTTATCATGCCACCCTTCAAGTATAAAGTTTTACTACCATTTGTTTGAAATGCAAAGTCTTCAATACCAGTAGGGGTATTATTCCCCATAACTCAAAAAAGATTCAATAACTAACTTTGAATTCTAAAATAAATAATATTTCTCTAACTCTATTTTTTCATTTTCATTTGCTACAAACATCAATCTCCTCTCTGTTTCTAATGGACCTTGAAATTAATTTCTTTCCTAAATTTATTTACATCATTAGTACCAGCACAATTCTCGTATTTAGGTATCTTAATTACTGCTAAGAAGCCAGCAGAGGGAGCCCTAGGAAATGCTCTCTTGACCCTAATTCACTTAAAGGAAATTTCTTACTTTTCATAGCATGGAAAATAAGATCTACAACACAGCAAATGAAACATCCACACAGGTAAATTTCTCTGGCAATATTATTCATTGATAAGAATCACTTAGCCATCTAATCTCTCAAACATCAGATTCCCACTTCAATACATTTTGTCCCCTATGAGATCTGATTATTTATCGTGTTTCCTTCAAACCATCTTAATTAAATATGTACACATACATAAACACACACGGCCCTGGCTGGTTTGGCTCAGCGGATAGAGCGTCGGCCTGCGGACTCAAGGGTCCCAGGTTCGATTCCCGTCAAGGGCATGTACCTGGGTTGCGGGCACATCCCCAGTAGGGGGCGTGCAAGAGGCAGCTGAATCGATGTTTCTCTCTCATCAATGTTTCTAACTTGCTATCCCTCTCCCTTCCTCTTTGTAAAAAAAAATCAATAAAATATATTAAAAAAAACAAACCCACACACGGTTATGCAGGCTACTTAGCACTTATTATTGGGCCAAATATCACAAATTTAAGATGAAGAGGTTAAATTTAAAGTTAAATAATTAAGATTTTGCAAGATTAAAAATAAATGTACCATGAGTCCTGGCTGGTTTGGCTCAGTGGATAGAGTGTCAGCTTGCATACTAAAGGGTCCCAGGTTTGGTTCTGGTCAAGGGCACATGCCTAGGTTGGGGGCTCGATCCCCAGTAGGGGGTGTGCAGGAGGCAGCCAATCAATGATTCTCTCTCATCATTGATGTTTCTCTCTCCTTTTTCCTTCCTCTTTGAAATCAATAAAAATATATATTCTGGGGGAAAAATGTACAGTGAAAAGATAATAGAATTTTAGAGGTAGACTGACTTGGTTTTGAGGCATGGTTTTGCCTACTTTTTAGCAGCGTAAGCTGAGGAAAGTTTATCTTTATGGGCTTCAGTTTTCTCATCTGCAAGTAAGGGATAATGTCATCTACTTTATAAGAATATTGTAGTGACTGAATGAGTGTAAGTTTATGAAATGCTTAGCTAAGTCTCTGACATATGACAAGAGTCCTACAAATCTGAAGCTATTCTTTTTAACTTTTTA